TTCTACACTGTCTGAACATAGGCAACTGGATACTGATCAAAATACTTTCCCACTGACAGCATGAAATTATGGTATATTTCCACGAGGTTTTAATTATAATGGTCAGACTCTGCTACTTCTAATTACTTTTAGATTTTTAAAATTCCATTTTATAAAACTGAAACTATTCTGTTCACAATTATTTCTTAGCATATTTTCATTTTAGTTTGGTGCCTTCTTATTGTAAACTGCCATCAGACTTTTGTTTGAACATTGTTTCCACTAAAATATCACCAGCTTTTCCCAATAGAGATAAAAACCAGGGTCCCAAGCAAAACAGAACTCAGGAATGAGTGTCCTTCTAATAGGATAAAAAGAACTATATAGAAAAACTATATTTTAAAAAACTATTTTTGGACCACAATCCATAACTTAATTTGCAGAACTGCCACTGAAAGAGATTCTTAGGACCAGCTCACATCTTCAGAGGTTGTTGGCTTTATGATGCAACCCCTTTACACATCATCTTCCTGCAATCTCAAAAACTGTTTCCATTTCTTGTTGTTTATTCGTTCAGTCAGTTCCAACTCTTCAAGACCTCATGGATCAGCCGACGCCAGAGCTCCCTGTCAGCTGCCGTCACCCCCATCTCCTTCAAGGTCAAGCCAGTCACTTCAAGGATACCATCCATCTTGCCCTTGGTTGACCCCTCTTTCTTTTTCCTTCCATTTTCCCCAGCATCATTGCCTTCTCAAAGCTTTCCTGTCTTCTCATGATGTGGCCAAAGTACTTCATCTTTGCCTCTAATAGCCTTCCCACCAGTGAGCAGCCGGGCATTATTTCCTGGAGCATGGACTGGTTGGATCTTCTTGCGGTCCAAGGCACTCTCAGAATTTTCCTCCCTCACGACTTTTCAAAAGCATATATCTTCCTCCGCTCAGCCTTCCTTATGGTCCGGCTCTCACATCCACATCCGCAGTACTATGGAATTCTGAGAGCTGTAGTTTTATTACAAGGCATTCAGACTTCTCTGCCAAAAAGTGCTGCCTGGGAACCATTGCTATAGACTTAATGCAGTTTGACAGCACTTTTGATTGCTGTGGATCAATGCAATGGGCTCATGTGTGTTGCGGTTATTACAAAACCTTCTCTGCCCAATAGTGTTGGTGCCTTCCCAAACTACAACTCCCAGAACTCCATAGCACTATTATTAATATTCTATGTATATACAATATATTATATTATTAGCATAGCACAATATTAGTATAATATAGTACTATATTGTACTATACTACTCTACTGCAATATTATCAGTAATATTACATGTAATATATACTATTATATTATATATTATTTACATATTTGTTGTTAATATATAATTTATTTATTTTGCATATTCGTATCCCATCCTTCTCACCCCTGGAGGGGGACTCAGGGTGGCTTCACAACAGGCATTCATTCAATGCCAACAACAGTAATAAATGATAAAAGCAATTAAAACAATTTTAATGCTTTAAAATTACTAAAACATTGTTTAATTCATGTAGGTTTGCAATCATAGTCCAGGTCAGTCCACTGTCATTCACACAAACTGGGTCTCATTCTAAATTGCTGCCTCTACTGTTAGAAAGCTTGGTCCCATAGCCAGGCTTTGAGTTTCATTCTAAAGGATAAGAGGGAGTGGGCCAATGTCACTGGGGAGAGAGTTCCACAGGCAAGGGGCCACCACTGAGAAGGCTCTGTCTCTTGTCTCTACCAGTCGCATTTGCGAGGATGGTGGGACTGAGAGCAGGGTGTCTCTGTCGATCTTAGACTTCACGATGGTTCATAGCAGGAGATACATTTAGACAGGTAAGCTGGGCCAGAACTATTCAGGGCTTTTCAGGCTAAAGCCAGCACTTTGAATTGTGCTTTGTAGCAGATTGGCAACCAGTGGAGCTGGCATAGCAGAGGGGTTGTATGCTCTCTGTATGCCGCTCCAGTGAGCAACCTGGCTGCCGTCCCTTGGACTAGTTGGCACTTCCAGAAAATCTTCAAAGGCAACCCCATGTAGAGTGTGTTGCAGTAATCTATTCTGGATGTAATAAGAGCATGGACCACCATGGCCAAGTCTGACTTCCCAAGGAAGGTATATAAGTGTAATACTCATGTATATTATATGTTGTTGGTTTTTTAGCAATAAAAATAAGAGGATGTACAGTTTATTTATTTTTCTTCCAAACTATGGCCTCATTCCCCCAACAATCTGTTTAAAACAGTAGTTTTCAATCTTCCTAATGCCGTGACCCCTTAATACAGTTCCTCATGTTGTGGTGACCCCCAACCATAAAATTATTTTTGTTGCTACTTCATAACTACAATTTTGCTATTGTTAAGAAGGTAAAGGTTTTCCCCCTGACATTAAGTCCAGTCGTGTCTGACTCTGGAGGTTGATGCTCATCTCCATTTCTAAGCTGAAGAGACAGCGTTGTCCACTTCCAAGGTCATGTGGCTAGCATGACTGCATGGAGTGCTATTACCTTCCCACTGGAGCGGTATCTATTGTTCTACTCACATGTGCATGTTTTTGAACTGCTAGATTGGCAGTAGCTGGACCTAACAGCAGGAACTCATGCCACTCTCCAGATTCAAACCTGTGACCTTTTGATCAGCAGCTCAGCACTTTAACCAGGGGCTCCCATTATGAATTGTAATGCAAATATCTGATATGCAGGATGTATTTTCAATCACTGGACCAAATTTGGCACAAACACCCAATATGCCCACATTTAAAACTGGTGGAGTTGGGGTAGGGGGTGGATATTGATTGTCATTTGGGAGTTGTAGTTGCAGCATTTTTCAACCTGGGGTCGGGACCCCTGGGGGGTTCTCGAGGAGGGTGTCAGAAGGGTTGCCAAAGACCACCAGAAAATACAGTATTTGCCGTTGGTCATGGAAGTTCTGTGTGGGAAGTTTGGCCAAGTCTCTCATTGGTGGGGCTCAGAATGCTCTTAGGTAAATCTCAGTGACAACTCCCAAATGTCAAGGTCTATTTTGCCCGAACTCCATCTGTGTTCAAATTTGGGCATATGGAGTATTTGTGCCAAGTTTGGTACAGGCCCTTCACTGTTTGAGTCCACACCGCTCTCTGGATGTAGGTGAACTACAACTCCCAAACTCAAGGTCAATGGCCACCAAACTGTTCTAGTGTTTTCTATTGGTCATGGAGTCCTGTGTGCCAAGTTTGGTTCAATTCCATCGTTGGTGGAGTTCTGAATGCTTTTTTATTGTAGGTCAACTATAAATCCCAGTAACTACAACTCCTGAATGACAAAATCAATGTTTTTAGCGATGGTCATTCCTTGGGTTAGTAGGTGTCTTGTGGCCAAATTTGTCACCAATTCGTCCAATGGAGTTTCAGTTATGATGTCACTCAAAATGAACTGAGCATTTATATATATATATATATATATAGAGAGAGAGAGAGAGAGAGAGAGAGAGAGATGTATATGTTTTTTTATTTACACAAATAAGAGGACGTGCAGTTTATTTTTCTTCCAAACTATTTATTTTTATTTATTTACGGCATTTATATGCCGCCCTTCTCACCCCGAAGGGGACTCAGAGCAGCTTACAAGATATATTTTCATACAATATATTATATTATTAGCATAGTTTGTTGTTCATTCGTTCAGTCGTTTCCAACTCTTTGTGACTTCATGGACCAGTCCACGCCAGAGCTCCCTGTCGGTCGTCACCACCCCAGCTCCTTCAAGGTCAATCCAGTCACTTCAAGGATGCCATCCATCCATCTTGCCCTTGGTTGGCCCCTCTTCCTTTTTCCTTCCACTTTCCCCAGCATAATTGTCTTCTCTAGGCTTTGCTGTCTCCTCATGATGTGGCCAAAGTACTTCAACTTTGTCTATAGTATCCTTCCCTCCAATGAGCAGTCGGGCTTTATTTCCTGGAGGATGGACTGGTTGGATCTTCTCGCAGTCCAAGGCACTCTCAGAACTTTCCTCCAACACCACAGCTCAAAAGCATCTATCTTCCTTCGCTCAGCCTTCCCTAAGGTCCAGCTCTCACATCCGTAGGTTACTATGGGAATCACCAGGACCGTAGCCAGAAATTTTTTTTGGGCAGGGTTGAAAATTTGGGGGGGGGGGGGTGGAAATTTCAACCACCTCCACCAAGTCTGGCCTCCTTAATGAGAGCATTCAACACACACACCCCCAACTTGGTTGCTTCACTACATCGGCTATTGCTGCAAGTAATGACAGTGTGAATAAATTGTCAATATTTGCTTGAGATAGTGCTTGCAGTTCTGGAGGGACTCTTAATTTTTTACGTCTCATAGACTTAGCATGGGGATTTGGTTAACCAGTTAAAATTCATGAGTAAACCAGTTTTTTTAACCTGAAAAATTTCGGGGGGGGGGGGTTGAACCCCTAACCCTCCCCCCACCTCCCTCACCCCGCTACAGGCCTGACTATGGGGAATACTATTGCTTTAACTATGCGGATCTTTGTTGCCAGTGCGATGTCTCTACTCTTCACTATTTTATTGAGATTGGTCATTGCTTTCCTCCCAAGAAGCGTCTCCTGATTTCCTGGCTGCAGTCTGCGTCTGCAGTAATCTTTGCACAATAGTACAATATCAGTACCATATATTACTATATTGCACTATACCATTATATTGGAATATTATTAGTAATATTACATGTAATGTAAATATATAGTTATAATTATAATATTGTATTATTATTACTAGTATTATATTTTATAGCCCCGTCCCGCCAACAAGCTGTTTACAAAGTTGAAGGAACTCCTGTTGTAGTTATGATAATGCAGTTCGACAGCACTTCAATTCCGGCGAGCTGATGAGAGTGACAATTCTCTTGCCAAGCTCCAAGAGGGCTGTTGCCTTTCCAAGCTCCCAGCCTTGCATATAGCCTTGAGCCAGGGCTTTAATGCCAGAGCGCGCGCCCGCCCGGGCCTGCCCTTCTTCTCCCTCCGCCCCGCCCCTTTTGCTGACGTCACTCCCCCAGACGACGATGGCGGCGCGTAGACGTCAGGCGGCGGCGGCGGCGGCGGCGGGCGCGCGAGGCGCGCGAGGCGCTCGAGCCTCAGAAGCAGGAGGCGCGAGAGCAAGAGGAGCAGCAGCGCCATCCCTCCTCTCTCGCGGCGATGCGGAGCCGGGCATGGCGGCGGCGCCCAGCCTCACCGTCTGCCTCAAGCTCCTGGCGGCCGCTTTCTACGGGTTCAGCTCTTTCCTCATCGTGGTGGTTAACAAGAGCGTCCTCACCAGCTACGGGTAGGAGGAGGAGGAGAACGAGAGGAAAGGGCAGGCAAAGTCCGACTAGCGGGTTGCACATTAACTAGGCTGGAGAGAGAGAGAGAGAGAGAGAGAGATAGACCCTCCCTTCTTCGCCTGGATCGCCTTGCATGCAAAGCCCAGCCTGGAGAAGGAGGAGGAGGAGGAAGAGAGAGGCTCAAGCAACCTCCATGCAGATCTTGCAAACAGGGGCAGATCCCATGTTAGAGAAAGGGGAGGAGGTTGCCACCACTTTTCCTGCAAGAGGGAACCTACACCAGGTCTGGGCAAACTTGGGCCCTCCTGGTGTTTGGGACTGCAACTCCCACCATTCCCAACAGCCTCAGGCCCCTTCCTTTACCCCCTCAGCCGCTTAAGCAGGAAGGGGCCTGAGGCTGCTGGGAATGGTGGGAGTTGCAGTCCCAAACACCTGGAGGGCCCAAGTTTGGCCAGACCTGATCATCGCTGTAGAATTAGTGCAATTTGGCACCACTTTAACTTTCCTGGCTTTTCAAGGCTGTGGGATCCAGGGATTGGTAGTTTGGTAAGGCACAAGCACTTTTGGGCAGGGAAGGCTCAAGATTTTGTAAAACTACAACTCCCACTTTTCTATAGAAGTGGGCCTCTGCAGTTAAAGTGGTGTCAGGCTGCATTAATTCTACATTTTAGATGCGCCCAGAGTCTGCAAAAGCGTATCTTGCCAGCTCCTTGGGCTACTGTGCTACAAGAGCCTATAATGGTATAGTACAAGATAGTAATATACAATACTGATATTGTACTATGCTAACGATATAATATAGTGTGTGTGTGTGTGTGTGTATGTATGTGTGTGTGTGTATATATATATATATATATATTGTGTGTGTGTGTGATCTTGTAAGCCGCTTTGAGTCTCCTTTGGGGTGAGAAGGGCGGCATATAAATGTTGTAAATAAATAAATAAATTTTGCATATGATTATAGTGCATATTTCCCAACCTGGAGGGGTTTTGTCGGGATGTCATAGGGGTCACTAAAGACAGTATTTTCTGTTGGTCATGGGAGCTCTGTGTGGGAAGTTTAGCCCAATTCCATGGCTGCCGAGGTTGATAATGCTTTATGATTGTAGGTGAACTATAAATCCCAGCAACTACAACTCCAAAATGTCGTGTTACATTTTCCCCAAACTCCACCAGTGTTCACATTTGGGCATGCTGAGGATTCGTGCCAAGTTTGGTCCAGATCCATCATCGTTTGAGTCCACAGTGCTCTCTGGATGTAGGTGAACTATAAATCCCAGCAACCACAACTCCCAAATGGCAAGGTCTATTTTCGCCAAACAACATTGATTGTTCACATTTGGGCATATTAGGTATTTATGCCACACTTGGTCCAGATTCATAATTTTTTGAGTCAACAGTGCTATCTGGATGTAGGTGGACTAAAACTCCAAAACTTAAGGTCAGTACTCACCAACCCCTTCCAGTATTTTCTGTTGGTCATGGGAGTTCTGTGTGTCAAATGTGGTTGAATTCTATCATTGGTGGAGTTCAGAATGCTCTTTGATTGTAGGTGAACTATAAATCACAACTACAACTCCCAAATGACCAAATCAATCCCCAACCTCACCAGTATGCAAATTTGGGCATATCGGGTATTTGTGCCAAATTTGGACCAGTGAATGAAAATACATCCTGCATATCAGATATTTACATTATGATTCATAACAGTAGCAAGATGACAGTTATGAAGTAGCAACGAAAATAATTTTATAATTGGGGGCCACCAGAACATAAGGAACTGTATTAAGGAGTCAGGGCACGAGGAAGGTTGAGAAACACTGCTATAGTGGAACTCAGTGGAGACAAATCCTGAGTGGATTGACACTGGACTTTCCAAAAGTTTTCACAGCACTGATACCAGCAGCATTTGCCATCTGCATCTTGTCCTCAAGTGTTTCTAAAACTCTGAAAAACTTTTTTTATTCTTGACCGTATTGAATCTTTCTACAGAATATTGCTTATGGCTGTGCATGTATGTATATATGCATATATATACATCCTTCTGTGTGTGTATATTGGGGAGCTTCCAGTCCGGTATGTTTGTGTGTGCATGACTTGAATGAGCTATGCTATAAGAAGTAACTGATGCCATCCAGCTGCTGTGCAAACACAGATGAACGTGTTCGGACTTACAAATCTGAGGGCGTTGGTTGCTGGTGGCATAGAATATATTTTTTAAAATCTGAATTCTTTTCCATTTTGGCCAGAGAGTTGTAAATTGAAGACAAAATGAGGCAGACTATTTTCTCTTTGGCACCAGCTAGGCATTCCTTTTATCCATAAAGTTTATGCTTGATGTTTAGTTTAACTTGTTTATTGTTTGTTGTTGTAGATTTCCATCCTCGCTGTGTGTGGGACTAGGCCAGGTTAGTTGGAAATACTTTTATTGGGATTTTTAAAAAAATGGGAATGTGTGGTTAAGGATGAAATAGTGATCTCTTTTGCTCCTTCTGCAGATGTTTGCCACAGTGCTTGTCCTCTGGGTGGGAAAGGCACTCAGGGTGGTGAAGTTTCCAGACTTTGACAGAAATATACCTCGAAAGGTATAGTATTTCTTTTTACCACCTCACTTCTCAACCTTGCTTTAGTAAACCACCAGTAGGTCATTTTAGTAGAAGTCCAGGTCCTTTATTGTATGTGGCTAAGACAAAGAAGGTTTAATTCTACTGTAATGTTTACAGTCTTTAGGTAAAAATTGTATATTGTGTTGTTTTTAGCACTGTTTGCTGTTTTGAGTCTCTTTTAAGAGAGAGAAGAAGCAGTGTATAAAATATAATGCAAATTAATAATAATAATAATAATAATAATAATAATAACTTTATTTGTACCCCGCTACCATCTCCCCAAGGGACTCGGTGTGGCTTACATGAGGTCAAGCCCACAGCACATCAAAAAACAAAAGCGATAACGAACAGTCAATACAAAACAGTTAAAATAAACTCAAAAACAGACAAATACACAATAAGCAATAACACTAGCATAGAGCATTAAAAACCTATGGCTGGGCCAAATGTAATAATTAAAATTTAGAATTTAAAATGCTGGGCATGAACAAGGTAGGATAAACTAGGATAGGGTTTTCAGAGAAAACCCTATCCTAGTTTTCTCTGAAACGCGCAAACAATCCTAAATCAATATTAAAGTGGATTTGAGGACATATTGCTAAGAGTTTTCCTTATTCTGGGAAGGCACACTGGAACAACCATGTTTTCAGGCTCCTCCTAAAGACTGCCAGCATTGGGGCATGTCTGATGTCCTTAGGGAGTGAATTCCAGAGTCGAGGGGCCACCACCGAGAAGGCCCTCTCCCTCGTCCCCACCAATCGTGCCTGCGAAGGAGGTGGGAGTGTGAGCAGGGCCTCTCCAGATGATCAAAGAGATCATGTGGGTTCATACACAGAAATGCGGTCACGCAGGTAGGTGGGTCCCAAACCGTTCAGGGCTTTGTAGGTAAGAACCTACACCTTTAATTGGGACCGGAAAATGAACGGCAGCCATGATGATCTTGTTTGCTGTGTACTAATCTTGTTGTGTTTCAAATAATAATACGCTTTATTTATATTCCACTCTATCTCCCCAAGGGGACTCAGAGCGGATTACAACATACACAAATAGGCAAACATTCAATGCCTTTAATACAATGAAATAACAATGGCACATAAATACACAGAACACAGGTAAAGGCTTCCCCTTTCATCTCCGGCTTTCTGGAGGCGGTGATCAGCTCTGCCCATGGGAAGGTGCTCTTTTTCCATTTCCAAGCTGAGGAGCCTGTTGTTCATAGACACCTCTTGGTCGCATTGCCAGCTGCATGGGTTCCTTTTATTATCTTCCCACCAAAGTGGTACCTATTGATCTACTCACATTTGCATATTTTTGAACTACTAGGTTGGCAGGAGCTAGGGCTAACAGTGGGAGCTCACCTTGACCTGCAGCTTCAAATTGCCAACCTTTAGGTCAGCACATTCAACAGTTCAACAGCTTAACCTGTTGTTGTACCACTGCAATAATAGACAAAATTGTTCCTTTGTATCTTACGTTCTGCAGAAAGAATACATAGTAGCATAATTTAAGGAACATGGTTTAGGTACTGTCTTATCACACTTGACAAATCACAGCATATGTTTACACACGTGAAAGTGCTGTAAGTCAATATCAAGAGATTTCAGTTATCCCTTTTGTACACAATTATTCTACTAAGCAAAATAAATAATCAAATCCTGTACAAGGGAGTTGGCCAGATAGTTTTCATATGTAGCATCTTAATTCATTGGATGCAAAATAAATAGTTGTAAAGGATTTTTCTGTTTCTTTTATGTTTACTGTACTTTGTTTTAGCATACAAGGCTAAATTGAAGTTTGTTTTAAAGTCCTGTTTCAAGATTTTTGTCCTCAGTCCACTTACATGATCTTTAAAATGTGTGGTGACATTTAAAAAATAAAAAGTAATATTTGTGTGAGTATAATTGGGACAGTTGTATTTGTCGGTGTTAATGTTTCCTATGCAAGCGCCCCCCTCCATCCAAACTGCTGTTTACTCTGGGGTACAATCACTATGTAACACAATGTTACATACTTACATATGTGTCATTTCCTTATTGATTCTATCATTAAAAACATGGAAAAAGTTATTAAACTGCAAAAACTTTGTTTTTGAGGGACATCCTGCAGCACATTTTGCCATATATGTTGTTGAAGGCTTTTATGACCGGAATCATTGGGTTGCTGTGAGTTTTCTGGGCTGTATGGCCATGTTCCTGAAGCATTCTTTCCTGATGTTTTGCTCAGGAGACCCTCAGAGTTTGTGAAGTCTGTGGGAAACTAGGCTAGTGGGGTTTATATATCTGTGGAATGTCCATGGTGGGAGAAAGAACTCTTTATCTGTTTGAGGCAAGTGTGAATGCTGCAATTGATCACCTTGATTAGCATTGAATGGCTTTGCAGCTTCAAAGCCTGGCTGGTTGCTGCTCAGGAATCCATTGTTGGATGGGTGATAGCTGGTCTTGATTGATTCTTGTCTGGAATTCCCCTGTGTTGCTCTTTATTTACTATCCTGATTTTAGAGTTTTTTTAATACTGGTAGCCAGATTTTGTTCATTTTCATGGTTTCCCCCCTTTCTGTTGAAATTGTCCACATGCTTATGGATTTCAATGGCTTCTCTGTGTAGTCTGACATGGTGATTGTTAGCGTGGTCCAGCATTTCTGTGTTCTCAAGCATATTGAGAACACCCTGTTCTCCCACCCTGGACATTCCACAGATCTATAAACCCTACTTGCCTAGTTTCCAACAGACCTCACAACATACAGCCCGGAAAACTCACAGCAACCCATTTTGCTATAGTTTTTCAATGAATATCTAATTGAGTCTCAACCAATACAACACAGTCTGTGGCAGCCATGAAAACAAAGTTTCTGGAGTATAACAACTACTTTTAAAGTAAGTAGAGTTCCACTGGAGGAGTTCCACTGCACAATTAAACCGGCAATAACACTTTTAAACCAGGAACAGAATCTTTTTCAAATTTTGTTATATAGTGTTAGTATTGGCACTTTCCCCTTCCTTTGCTGCTCACCAAGCTCATTCCCAGGTCCTACATATTTTAAAGTACAATCATACACTTAATGTAATATATAGTTTGGCTCTTAGAGGATATGTAGTTGGCCTGCCACAACCACAGGCTTAGTTTTTTCAGAATTGATTAATACGGTTTCTCTAAGAATCTCGAACTCCTCCAGTGGAACTCTTATAGTTAACATTCATCAGAAATTGACCATATAGCTGTGCCTGAGTACTCTTCTCTGGGGATCTCTAGGTCAATTTCTGATGAATAATAATACTAGATTTGCACTGGAGGAGCTATTTTATTATTTATTTACAGTATTTATATTCCGCCCTTCTCACCTCGAAGGGGACTCGGGGCGGATCACAATGTACATATACACGGCAAACATTATTAGACAAATGTTCTATCGGGTAAACAGTTTTTTAATTTGTTTTTTCCCACTTTCACTGGAGACTTACACCCCTAAAGACTGTATTACTAAATTTGTAAGGATTTGCCTTCAGTTGTTACTGGCCTATGCTGCAATCCTGTGGACACTTACACAGTCATTGAAATGGATGAAATTAAAGCTTCTGCGTCAGCTCTGATACAGTTGGCTGGCATAAATATCCTTGTTTATTATTTTTGTAACTGTTTTCCCCACCCTCTAGCTTTCTGAGCACTATTTTAAACATGATTTTGGGCATGTGAAATAAGCTTCCCCATTCAGAGTGTCATGTTAAAGAAGCTTCTGTTTTATATGCATGTAAAGGATTCGTGTGCTACAGGTTCCTGGTGTATTACTACCATTCACACTGAAATCAGGTCACTGGTTTCTATGTGCCATCAGTTGTGTGCAAGCCAGCATCAGTACGTTCCCTTTCCATGCCCACGGTCACAGTGTGACTGTGAAAACAGAAGGTCTTTCAATTGATGGATCTGTTCAACTTTGCAGAAATTAAAACAGACTTGAGGGAGGGAAAAGGAAGGATATCGGCGCTTATTTTGTAAGCCAGGTTGCAAAACCAGGCTGATCCTGTGTGCTGAAGCTGGTGGGCTACAATTAAACCATTGTTGTGCATTTGTTAAGCCTTGCCAGGCTGTGTCTCTTGTGAAAACTGTTCCAACTGCAAAACTGTAATTTTTTTTAATAGTTAGGTCATTTACCTGACATCCTGTTTCCCATTTTCTAGACATTTCCACTACCTCTTCTCTATTTTGGGAACCAAATCACAGGACTGTTCAGCACAAAAAAATTGAAGTATGTGTATAACTTTTGTCTATTTGTGAGGTTTTATTTTTAAAAACTTGTATTAAAACAACATTTCTGAATTCCAGTATTTATATATGAAGGGATTTAATGTAAAGTAATCAATGTCAGTGAAATGAAAACTGTATAGCCCTGTGGTTTGTGGAGTTTTGTGTTTTTTGTTACAGTTATGCATTTTTCTAGTTTAGCTAAATAAAATGTCCTCAGTATAGACAAAGAAGAGAAAGTAGAGGATTGGATAGACTCAGACAGCTATGGCAGATTTGAAAAACTATATGGCCCTTCAGAAAATATTTGACTACAACATGTAGCCTTTCTTTTCATCTGTTATGCTCCTAAAATATTTCAGAATTGTATTATTACAACATTTGGAAGTAGTGATGAGAAGACCTGGGAAAAACATTCAAAATTAACGTGAGGTTTTGGATTTATTTTTTTTTAAATGGAGAAATGAGTTATTTAATATTATATATTAGAATGATGAATAAAATATTTTATAATAATAATAAGTTTTCGTTTATACCCACCCCCTCTTCCCGAAGGGACTCAGGGTGGTTTACAACAAGCAATAATAATAATAATAATAATAATAATAATAATAATAATATAAAAAAACATGATAACCAACAATAACAAAAACATTTATAATTTAGTACAATTTAAAATTTTAAAGTATTAATAAATAAAAAATGAAATATTATTTCGATTTAAACAATATATTTAGTTCCTGCCCACATTATTTCCAAAAACTATAGAACAGGTATGCAGATATGTAGGACTACTTACAGCATCATGCATTACTGCAATTTCTGCTTCCCTTTTCTTAATTCTTTTTGTGGAGAAGACTACTGTATGTCTGCTTTACACTCTAGAGAACCAGGGAAGACATAACAGCTTTATTTTTATATTGATTTTAAAAAGCTATGGCTCCAGCTCTCTGACAAGCCAGCTATCCTCTATGGCAAAAGCAAGATCAACATAAGAATAAAATGCCTTTGGGAAAGAGCCCTGATTCATCTCTTGAAGCTGGGCATTCCAGAGTCAGGAGTTTCTCCCTTGCAGTAAACTGTCTTCATACCAAACACGACTCAGATGTCAGTAGGACATGCAGCAGACTTTCTACAGATGACTTGAAACAATGGCCAGGCTCTTTTAGGGCAGTGGTTCTCAACCTGTGGGTCCCCAGATGTTTTGGCCTTCCAACTCCTAACAGCTGGTAAACTGCTTGAGAACCACTGCTTTAGGAGAAGGTGATTCCTCAAATACCATGTGAAGCCAGTTAGAGCAGTGATTCCAAACTGGTAAGAGAAATAGGGATTTGGGAAGTATAATGCTAAGGCAAATACATTAAATTTAATCCAGACACAGAATAGCAGCTTGGTGAACCATGACATAACAGAGGAATTATGTGGTCCTGAAAAATAGCTGCACTCAGAAGCTTCACAGCTCCTGCAGAATGTGTCCGAAGGTTCTTGACAGCGTTCATAGACAACCCAATGCAGATGATATTGTAATAGTATACAATTTAACTAAAGCATGATTACAGCTAGATCCACTTTTTTTTAGTAATGATGAGGCAAGGAAAATGCAACCCATGGACTGTATCCATCCTCCAAGTTGATTACATGGACCTAGAATCTCCAACCTTAAAAAGAAGCAAATAATTTTTCCCCAAACCGTTGTTATGACTAGAATCTCCAACCTTAAAAAGAAGCAAATATTTTTTTTTCCAAACCGTTGTTATGCTCCCTAATGCTCTTAGGAGATGGAGACTTATTTGCATTTGCCCCTGGTCTATGTTAGGCCCAGGAAAGACTCCACCTTCCATAAGAATTATCTAGAAGTTGACTAATAGGTCACTAGTTGCTGAAGAAAAGGCCGACATAGGAGAGAATAGCCCCCATGTCCTCTAGAAGGCATTTGGATTTAATAAAAGGGGGATCAATGTTTTGTATGGTCATTGGGGGGGGCCTCACGGTCATCGGAGCGAGATTACCCTGGGCCTCCATTTTTAATTTGGAACCCACATTAGAGAATTTTTATTACATCTATGTTTCTCCCTCAGGCCATTTTAGGCCTAAGAAACACCTTTTTCTAAAACAAGAAGTTAACATCATTTGACTGCTGGCCACTTCCTATTGTTATAAAGACATTACCTGAGTTTAATAGCCTCCCCCTTTTTCCATGCCCAAGGTACTACTGGGAGCACTTTGGGGTACAACCTTTTTTCAAAAAAAGAAAAATTGAGGGTGCGGTCGATTAATTTTCCAAGCTTTCATATGGGTCGAATGTGGGCTCCTGGGCCTCATAGAGGTCCCGATCCCTGCTCAACACAAGAGCATCTTAAGTTTTTCTTATTTATGGGACCAGCAGGGTGTCCCTCTAACTGTGCCAGCACAGATATCATATTTATAGCTATTCATTTCTCCTCTTGAAATGTATTGATAACTGCGGAAAAACTAGGATTTTTCCATGTCTTCCCCTTGTTTTCCCTCCAATTTTTCCAGGCCTTTCCATCTCCCAGTTACAAATAAAATTCTGTAATATTCATGTGTTACTGCCACTGCTAATTTGTTCAATCACAAAAAATCCTGTATGATTTTTCTAATTTTTTTGCTCTAATTTTCCAATTAGAATAGACCCACTGAATCACTTGCTGAATGGTGATTCAACACTAATCTTAATCTCATTGATTCAATCACTGCCCTAGTTGAGACTAGAGCAGGAGTAGAACCATTGAATTCAAAGTATGGCTTATCTAGATCCAGCCCATTTTTAAAAGACACTATACTGCTTAAAATCCTTGAGGCAATTTTATTTGCCACAGATTTTGCAGGTCATGTTGACCTGTTGGCAAAGTCATTTATATTGTCATGTAGGAACGTTTGGAAACAGAAGGTTAGAAGTTTCCTAAGGAGAAGAAAGAAGTTACAGGGTTTGTGCTAATAAATATTTGAAGGTAGTTAATGTTTACTTAAGCAAATGGTCATCTTCAAATATCTTTAGAGTTCAAACAGAAATGTATACAAAATATTGTATGCGTTCATGAACCACTTTAAAATAGACAATGCAACACTTGACAAAAGCGCTGCTCTATTTTCATCTCAGAAGCGCTGTGCCCTTGTTCCATACTCTCAGAGGCTTCCTACAGCAAGAAATAGGCAGGTACTAGCTTTAGCCACCAGCTTGAGAAGACGGTTAAATATAACTTCTAAGCCATAGGCTCTTGTAACTTGAGAGCCTAAAAGATTTCTGGGAGAAATGTACTAGAAGCCAGTGAGCTCTATCAGAAATAACTTTTCCACACTTCCTTTCCAGAAATAAAGCTTTGCCACAGCTAATATGTAGCTAAGCTTTGTGTTGTTTATAAAAACAAATTGCGCCGTTTGGAGAAAATCTGTCTCTTAGTCTCAAGATTTGGGAGCCAGTTTTGTATTGTTTTTGCTGTTTCTTCAAAACTGTGTTGGAAATCTTTCTTTTTGACCCACAGGGTTTTAACTCACTGCTACATATATTAATGTTTACTTCATCTATCTTCTACATTGGAATTTTGAAATATGTCATTATAAATGTGGAAGTAGCCTCAAACCATTTCAGTTTCGTCAGCCTTTTCCAAAATGTTGAGTTTCTTCCTTTTCTCTTTTAGCCTGCCAATGTTTACAGTCCTGAGACGGTTTTCTATTCTGTTTACAATGTTTGCAGAAGGAATTTTACTCAAGTGAGTAGTGGGCAAGTACAGTATTGTACCATATAGTGAATGCATTTTGTGCCAAGACTGTTATTTCTCTTTGGTCGTGTAGTAGATGAGATACAGGTCATCCCGCACATGTTGAATGTGGGGGAACCCAGAGCAGCAAATTTTTTCTTAGCTTGCAGCAGATTTAAAGTTTGTGATTAGACGTTATGTGTCTCCTTCAAATCTTGATGGTATTCTGGAAGAAGGACATGGAAGAGTGATGCTTCTGAGCTTTCATACAAAATACTGATGTGGTAGGAGTGGAAGAGGATTTTGCATTGAGTTTCTTTTCAGTGGGTGCTCTCCTTTTGGAAACAGGAGAAAACAGATTGCTGTGGGATTATGTACAGGCTGCATTAGTGCTGCCAGACCCCTTGTGCCCCTGAAGAAGCTGCTTGGTGAAAACTCATTCTTTAAATCTCCTCTGTTCATTTGTGGAGTAAAGAAGTGAGCTTTTGATATTGTGTGATTTCAAGTTGACCTTGACTTGTGACTACTCTTATCACAGGCTCCACTTGGCAAAATCTATGCATAGGAAATTACCCATTTCATTCCTCTGAGGCTGAGAAATTGAGACTAGGTCAGTCAGTGGATTTCCATGACTGGCCTGGTGTCCCAGGCTGGATCTACACTGCCACATCATGGAGTTTCAGAATGCAGATTAACTGAATTCAACCGGATTATATGACAGTTGACTCATAATCCAGTTCAACTCAGTTAACTTGAATTCTGAAACTATGACAGCGTAGACCCACCCCCAGAATCCTAGTCTAAACACTCAAAACTGCTAAACCATGATGGCTCCAAATCACTAGTTAGAGCCATCCAAGTCTTCTTAAAAGCATTTTGTTGTGTGTATGGATCCAAAGGCAACCCTGTGAAGCATTGCTTCAGTTTTATTATAAATTCAAAATGTATTCTATTTTCCCTCTCTTGTCTCCTGGACAACATGACATGAATATACAGGGTTAGTCAAAATGAATAGGCCAATAAGAAAATTAATTTTAGACGAATGTTTACTGTAACCAAACCACAGCTACGTAGCGACAGATAAACTATCAAAGTTTTTTTTGAGCAACACACATGTACGTTAATGCCGCTAGGCGTCGCTAGGGGTCGCTGTTTTCAAAATGGCGGAATCAAGCAAAGAGAAGGTGTTTTGTGTGATGACATTTGCTAAAACAATGTCAGTAATTACGGTCCAGCGAGAATTTCAAGGGTTAGGGTTAGGGTTAGGGTTAGGGTAGGGTTAGGGATAGGGATAGGGTTAGGGTTAGGGTTAGGGTTAGGACCTCAACGAACACCTTCCCAGACGTTGCTGCATTCGATGCCATTACGTCGGATGTGCTGCAACGGATGTGGAATGAACTGGACTATCGCTTGGACATCTGCCGTGTCACACGGGGCGCCCATATCGAACATCTCTGAAGGTGAGACAAAACTTTGATAGTTTATCTGTCGCTACGTAGCTGTAGTTTGGTTACAATAAACATACATTTGTCTAAAATTAATTTTCTTATTGGCCTATTCATTTTGACTAACCCTGTATTATGAGACAAATATGAATATAAAACATTTGTATCATAAATTTGGTAGCAATGCAGAGCACAATTTTATTAGCTAGTTCTTAGCAGATCCATATGGCATTTCCTTATGATAGGTCTCACATAAGAGAAAGCTTCCATGCAGCAGGTTTACTGTGTCTATCATTTGCTGAATCTGGAGACCACTTGCTTTGTTTGTCAACAGTGCAGAAGACACTAGGAAACAATGAAAGATCTGATAGTATTCCTTCCCTAAACACATTCACCTACCTATCATGGAATAGGTAGTTGGAAATAGTTTGAAATTTTAAGAGAAAAGTCTTTATAGCTCATCGTGAAAGTCAGATTTAAGAACTGGTTGTGTTAGTAATTTTCATATGATAGCTATGATTATTTTGGATTTTTTTTTAGGAAGAAATTTTCCTGGGGGATTCAGATGACAGTATTTGCAATGATAATTGGAGCCTTTGTAGCTGCAAGGTAAGGTGCAGAATTCTTTTAAAAATAGTTTGAGTTTTAATTACATTTTATACTAGGGCATTCCTCAAGTAGCTTGTTGCAATAAAGATTATGTCTAATTTGTGAAAATTGAATAGAAATTGAGGTGACACCCTGTGAAGATGGATTTGAGAAAAAAAAGTATACTTGATAGGGCCAGATAATTGCTTGCATAAATTAATACAGCTTGTGTTTCTGAATAATTACATCTGCAATGAAAGAAAAGTCTTCTTAAATGTTGGGTTTTTTTTCTCTACACTGGCCATTTTGGAGTAAAGCTAGAAAATGCTGAGACCAAAACAAAATTGTGTACTTTTGTGGATTCTGCTTGAATCAATAGTCTGTCTCCTTTCTCAAGACCCTCATGCAATCTAAAATGTGTACCAGAAAATAACTTTTCTCCCCAGAAAGGGCAATAGGGGGAAGAAACAAAAGCCCTAATTCCTTTAGTGTTGAATTGAAGGATCCTATTGGATCTTGGCATAGGAAACAATGCCAAAATGTTTTTCTGGCTTTGGGTCAGGCTTTAGCTTAGCAGGTTAAACTGCCAGCTGCAGAAAATCTTGCCACTCAAAAGGTCGACAGTTCAGACCCAGGTTGGGGTGAGCTCCCAACCGTCAACTGCTCACCTAGCAGTTCAGAAACAGTAATGTGAGTAGATAAATAGGTACTGCTTTGGTAATGAAAGGTGCCCATTGCGGATAGGCCGGCAATTCGATCAGGAGAGTGTCTAAAGACAACAAAGCTCCATGGCTTGAGCCTAGCACAGCCTCCAGATGTCGGAGATGGAAAAAGATGGGAAGCCATTACTTCTGTTTATGTATTGTCTGTCTTTGTTAATTGTATAATGGCATTGAATGCTTGCCGTATATGTGTACTGTAATCTGCCTTGAGTCCCCTTGGGGAGATAGGGTGGAATATAAATAAAGTAAATCATTATTTTTTTTATTATTATGGAAGTTTGATCCTTGATCTACAGCTTTTGTATTCAACAATCTGCATTCTCTGATTGCTTCCCTTCATCCTATCAAAGTAGTGACTGATGAGAAGAATGAATAAATCTTTATTTTAAAATCAGAGAACTTAAAGCAGAACAGTACAGTGTTCCCTTGCCGCTTTGTGGTTCGCTAATCGTGGACTTGCTGTTTCGCAGCTTTTCAAAAAATTAATTTAAAATACAAGTAGCATACAAGTAGAGGAAGAGAGAGAGAGAGAGAGAGGAGGGGGAGAGAGGAGTGGGCAGAGCTATACTGCACATATACAGTATAGCGTCCCTATATCGTGGTTTTTCACTTATTGCAGGGGTTCCTGGAACGGAACCCCCACGATAGGTGAGGGATGCTATCCTTTTCAGCATTTGATGCTCTACTATTCTCAACACCCCTAGCCCTTGCAACAATGGCAGAGACAGGAGTCCAGAGATATCTTTCTTGCATTTACTTAGATTTTCACAATCTCTTTGCATGCCTTACTAGCGACCACTTCCGTGGCACTAATGATTGTGTCAAGAAGAAGTAAATTTCCAAAGTTTAGGCAATCTAGCCCTTCCTTTCTCCCTGTACCCAATGAAAAAAACCTTACAGGAGACTAGTGCTGATATAAATTGCAGAATTGATGATGTGTGTATTGATCCCTGGAAGACTAGATGTGTGAGTCTTCTGTTGAACAGAATCTTCATATAATTAGGTTCGAAATCTGCACTCCAATACAGAATCCTGTAGGGTTTGCAGATCACCTTTGTTCAATGTTTGGGAATATTATACATTTGTAATATTTTCTTTTCATCCTAGTTCTGATTTGGCGTTTGATCTAGAAGGTTACATTTTTATCTTGATCAACGATGTCCTGACAGCTGCAAATGGTGCATATGTAAAGCAGAAACTAGATTCAAAGGTATGCTTATATTTATCGTACTTCATCTTAAAAGCAGTCTGCCAGTTCTGTAGTTAATTGAAAACAAATATTAATTCCTTAGTAATATGGCTGACCAGTTTTATGTCTTGTCAATATAATCTTTCACTTCCTTATTTCATGTTCTTTCTTATATTGTAATAGAGGTTTAGTAACATGCATACTTTAGCATACCTCAGTTAACAAAGCCTCTGGCAATGAAACTTCTTCTTAAAATGAATTTATTTTGCCTCTCCAGCACCACTTCCCTTTTTGTCTTCTATCTAGTAGGAATTCTTTAATAGTTATCGCAGTTAATAATTTTTCATTTACCATTTTTACAACAAGGAGACAATGAATAATGTAATGTATAGTGTAATGTGTTTTACATTTTTGTACTCCATATTGTTTTAGAGATGTTCTGTTTTAATTTATGTTGTAAACTGTTTTTGAGTCCAATTGTATGGAAAAGCAAGATATAAACCAAATGAGTAAGTACATTTAAAATATAGTGCAAAACTTATTTTCTCCCAGTTTGCACCATAGAGAAAACACAAAAGTAAAGACTCAAGATAGGAACATTTTCATAGTGTTTGGCAAGGATGACTATTGAGGTCTGCCTGTCAATATAAACAAACCCCTCACATCTTTCTTCATTCGTAGGAGCTGGGAAAATATGGCCTCCTTTATTATAATGCACTGTTCATGATTCTTCCAACCTTGGCTATTGCCTATTTTACAGGAGATGCGCAAAAGGTGAGTTTTTGGCTTTTGTTTCAGAAAAATGATTAAAAATCCAAACTATAGCTGCAGTAGGTCCTTTGATCAGGATATTATTGTTAATACACTCTTGAATTGTAGGACAAAACTGGAATATAACTCATTTTATGCCTGAAATCAAACTGATGGGCCAAACTCCAGGTGTTTTGGACTTCAGCTCCTACAATTCCTACTGGCTGGAGGACTAAAGTTTGCCCATGCCTTCTTTAAGTCAAGGGTTGGCACAGTGTGGTCATTTCTGTGGCACCCAAAGAACTTATTTTATGCTCTAGAATGCCCTCAAAAGCTCTCTAGGAGGTGTTTATGAGCATTTCCACTGTTTGAAGCACCGCCGCCTCCTTTGGAATGATTTTTTTTTCAACAAAAGTGTTTGCAACTTTTTAAAAACATTTGACCCCAGATAATGTTGGAGGCATTTTCATTATGTTTGGGCTGGACTGGGGCAATGAAGGACAAGAAGAAGCCTTTGTTGAAACAGGAAATGAACAGGAAGTGTATTCTCCCTCACTTCCCATAGTTAAAAAGTGGCTTTGTCAAGACATAAAACTACTCAGGGAGGCACAATGACATTGTAAAAATGCCTCCATTGCCCCCTAGATCAGTTTTTCTCAACCTGGGGGTCGGGACCCCTGAAGGGGGTTGCCAAAGACCATCAGAAAACACAATGTGCAATGTGAGGGTGGTCTTGTAGCATCCTAGTGAAGGTGGTCTAGGAGCAGCAGCAGAAACAACTTAGGTAATTTGTAACGCTATTTATTAGAAAAAAGTAAATCTTTCCTTTAGTTTTAAAAATTAATGCTTCTATTAGAAAATGCATAAGGATGTGGGTGAACTACAACTCAATCCTCTTTAAATCCCACCAGTATTCCCAATTGGCCATGTTGGATCTGTGTGCCAAGTGTGGTCCAAATCCATCACCAGCTGGATTCAGTGCTCTTTGGATGCGGGTGAATTACAACTCCCAAACGCCAAGGTCAATCACCCCCCAACTTCTCCTTTATTCACAGTTGGCCACGTAGGGTTTGTGTGCCCAGTTTGGTTCATATCCAGTTTGGTTCAGATTTGGTGGGGGCCACAGGGTTCTCTGGATGCAGGGAGAACTACAATCACTCTGCTCCCCAGATTTGAACCGCTGACCTTTTGGTCAGCAGTCCTGGTACCAGGGGTTTAACCCATTGCACCACCGGGGCTCCTTGGTCTTTCCAGAAAGGCTATATGTGAGAGTTTCTTCTCAGGCAGCTCCTTCAAGACCACTATTCCATTCACAAGGAGACATTTATTTCCTCTTTGACCTAACTTGTCAATCTAAGTTTAAGAATAGGCAAGATTGGCATTAAGAATAATAATTCTGTGTTCCATTAAGATGGAAAAATAACATCTTGATGTTCATGGTAGTGGAGGGTTTGGATAAGGAGAATGTGTTCATTAGAAATATCTGCATCAACAGAATGAGAAATAGAATCCTGACACTGTATTAGACTCTGGAATTTGTATTCCGTGTCTGTGCACATATAGTGTGCAAACTTTGTTTTTCTTCTCTGGCAAGCTCTTGACAGTGAAGGTGAACAAAGCCTGGTCTGTTGAAGATCCAGGAAGCTTAAAATTCATAGAGCTGAGAAATCACTGCTTTATTATTAATGCACCATAAGAATGTACCTCCATTTTCCCCTTTCATTATATTAATTTGCCTTGATACTGACAGAGTATGAGGCTTAAGGGGAGATTATGGCAATATGTGACAAATAGATTGAGATGTTAAAAGAACTAACATGTCAACAAGGGAACATTTGTCAAACTATGAATAATCCTGTCTGTGGTGAACATATTGTTTATGTGTAGAAAGCGTAAGTTATGGGTTGAGTCATTTTGAGTCGGGTTCAATGTTAACCTGGGAAATCAGATCATTGTCATCCCTCCTCACCTTTAGAAAGAAGGTTAAAATGGGGATGTGGGACCAGGCCTTCAGGCAGTTAGGCAGAAAGGACAGTTGACAATGTTGACAATGGCTTGGAAAAGGATTATGGATAAGTTAAACCGAGTACTCAATCATAGTATCTTGTCTTTACTAATAATATAATATAGTATATTGTATATACATATAATATTTATAATATTATAATGTAATACAATATAATATAAATAATAATACAATATTATAATTATAATTATATATTTACATTACATGTAATATTACTAATAATATTACAATATAATGGTATAGTGCAATATAGTAATATATAATACTGATATTGTATCATGCTAATAATATAATATATTGAATGAAAATATATCTTGTAAGCTGCTCTGAGTCCCCTTCAGGGTGAGAAGGGCAGCATATAAATGCTGCAAATAAATAAAGAAATAAATATTTGTCAATGTTCAATTTTTAGAAGCATTTTTATTTTTCAGTAAACATCTTGTTGTAAAAGGTACATTTTGTCTTTTTCCCTATTGCTTTTATTAAATGCGCTAAAAGACTTTTCAGCACACATTCAATCTAAAAATGAAGTCTTAAATTTAAAAACAGATCTAAAGTTGTGAACCAGAGTTCAAACAGTGGCAAAACCTTATCTTTTTGTTGGACCATTACATTCCCAGACGTTTAGCTAGAGTTGAACATTTCAAACAATGCTAGTGCTAGTTGACTATGTTAATGAGAACAACCTTTTTGTCCACAATTTATTGTGATCAGTTTCTTACATTAGTATTTTTTAAAATATTGTGGTATCTGATATGTCTGCTATTTAAGTAATACCATTCCTTCAGCCTCTGTGGACAGATTTCAATGGCCTGTGCCTCTAGATCAGCGATTCTCAACCTGGGGGTCGGGACCCCTGGGGGAAGGTCACAAGGGGGTGTCAGAGGGGTCGCCAAAGACCATCAGAAAACACATATTTTCTGTTGGTCATGGGGGTTCTGTGTGGGAAGTTTGGCCCAATTCAGAGTGCTCTCTGATTGTAGATGAATGATAAATCCCAGCAACTACAACTCCCAAATGACAAGGTCTATTTCCCCCAAACTCCACCAGTGTTCACATTTGGACATATTGAGTATCCGTGCCAAGTTTGGTCCAGATGCATCATTGTTTGAGTCCACAGTGCTCTCTGGATATAGGTGAACTACAACTCCCAAACTCAAGGTAAATGCCCACCAGACCCTTCCAGTATTTCTTGTTGGTCATGGAAGTTCTGTATGCCAAGTTTGGTTTAATTCCATCATTGGTGAGTTCAGAATGCTCTTTGATTGTAAGTGAACTATAAACCCCAGCAACTATCGCTCCCTAATGAAAGAATCAACCCCCTCCCCCCACCAAAATCTCACCAGTATTCAAATGTTGGCGTATCGGGTATTTGTGCCAAATTTAGTCCAGTGAATGAAAATACATCCTGCATATCAGATATTTACATTATGATTTTTAACAGTAGCAAAATTACAGTTATGAAGTAGTAATGAAAATGATTTTATGGTTGGAGGTCACCACAACATGAGGAACAGTATTTTAAGGAAGGTTGAGAACCACTGCTCTAGATGAATGCTTGAGGTGATTTGCAGTGAAATCAGTAGGAAAAGGCTTTTAAAAACCCTAAAGCAATAGAATAGGAACAATGGCTTGTATTTAGTAGTGCACCTATGGATTTGTAATCTAGAGTTACAGATCTGTAACTGCTCTGTATTTACCAATGCAAGATAGTGCCTGGTTGGAGATAGATTCAAGACCAGTTAATAAATTTGTGAAAGCTATAGCCTGGACATTGATTTTGGGGGTATCTGCCCAGCCTTGGTATTCTTCCTGTTTCCTTGCTCAAACAGGAGGGCAGTCCAGCATCTCCCAAGCTGATAGAAAGATAGGACTCATCAATGCTAAATGGACATTGCTAAAGGGGCGTTTAAAGCAGCTTGGGTGCGACTGCACGGTTCAAGTGGAATTATGTAATATAAAAGAGCTTTTGATTAGGGCACATGGAAGTTGTAGTCCAACAGCATTGAAGGAGCCCACAATTGCCCAGCCTGGATGTAATTCGTTAATGCTCTATGACTAGAGAGGCTGACTTCCTATCTTCACCTGGTCATGACGTTTACTCAGTGCCCTTGGACTCGATATTACCTCTCAGTTATTGTGAAGATAGTGGTTCAGAGAGGGCCATGCATGCCACCTGAATACTTTGGAAGAAAAGCAGAATATAAATGAGACAAATAAACCAACACATGAAATTTGTTCTTATTTTCAGGCAATGGAATACCAAGGCTGGGCAGATACCCTCTTCCTTGTACAGTTTACACTCTCCTGTGTAATGGGGTAAGTAAGAATGTTTTAGTGATCCCAGGGGTGGGGAATCGTATGGTTCAGCAGATGTTTTTAGGACTGCAGCTCTCTTTCTTCCCCACTATTGGACTTGCTGGCTAAGGCTGCAGGGATTTGCAGTTCAGCAACATTCCCACCTTTGCTTTAATATGTATGTTCCTGATTCCTCTCCCACCCCCACCCCCAGAAACAAGTACTTTGTTACTGGAAGCCTAATGCAGTACTATTTGTACTTCTGTTTTATCATTAAGCAAAGCAGGCATGACAAATTGACAGGAAAGGGATAAAAATTGCAATTATACATGTCTTGAGGGCTGAATTGTTTGAACATCAAAATTATGCTATATTAGCACCAAGTAGTATAGTGGGCCCTCCACATTTGCATGAGTGGGGTTGGGCGGATCCTATGCAAAAGTGTAAATATCATGACAGAAGTCTCTCCTTTTTCTTTTTCTTTTTTTTACCTGAGAGAATTCTTTTCATTACCTATACCAGTGGTTCTCAACCTGTGGGTCCCCAGATGTTTTGACCTTCAACTCCCAGAAATCCTAACAGATGGTAAACTGGCTGGGATTTCTGGGCATTGTAAGCCAAAACATCTGGGGACCCACACATTGAGAACCACTAACATATGCTTATAGCCATCTTATATGGCTTTTAATCAGTTTTAATCCAGTATGTTAAATCAGTCAGCTATTGTTAATCTTATTAACCTTGGAGGGAGGGGGGTGGGTACATTTGCAAGCCTGGGATGAGATGTTCAGGTGGGACAGGACCAATGGAGGTGGGTGGAAGAGAGGTAGGAATATTCGCAAGGGATGAGATTTTAAACTGAGACAGGAGTGAGTGAGTGGGAGGAGTCAAAGGATATTCCATTAAGGAACACATCTTTCGCATGATAGCAAAACTTAAACGAAATCTGTCTTCTGCTCAGCCAGTGATTTATTTTCAATACCTTGTTAAAGTTTGACTCTTTCTTTGTAGGTTTATTCTTATGTATTCAACAGTACTTTGTACTCAGTATAACTCTGCCCTTACAACTACAATAGTTGGTTGTATTAAGGTAAGGTCTTCAAATCTATAAAGCTGAGAAATAATTGTACTATTAATAAATAATAAATAAATAAATGTAATGCAGCTATAGCTATAGCATGCAACTTGCATAGGTGAGCTTGTGTTTTTTTGGTACACATCACATCTGTTGCTCTGCATTATAGAGAAGAAAGGCAGTATAATGCAAATGATGTTCTATGAAATATCTAACCCCCTTGAATTAGATCTATGGAAGAACCTAGTGTTCTAAATTGAGGTCTGTTGTTTACACAATTATTTATGTGTTTACGAGTTCAGTGTTCATGGGAAAATATTAAATTTAGTGGATTGAGAGGAAGGAATAAGTTGGTTAGGCAATTTATAAATACCCGGAGGCCATTTTTATTGGATAGACCACATCAGCTCTAGTTTCTGATACAGAACATATGCCATCCAGTAGTCGCCATCTGCTTGCCCACAGAAAACCATATTTAATAATCTAAAGCTGATGTGATTTATCCAAGAGGGCGGGGCTGGTCAGCGATAGGGAAGGAGTGTCAGGTGACGCAAAAGAAGTGAAAATAAATTAAAGAGGAAGGAGGCTCATGGACCAGATTTTCGTCCTCGTGGCCCATTGCTGGTCTGCAGCCCACAGATTAAGAACCACTGCCATAGACAATACCTTGCATATAACTTATACAAAGTTGTTATCTAGAAAGGTACAAATGCCCTGGTTTTCTCATCCACTTTATTGTTTTTAAATAACAAATTTGTATCTCTCATTCATTTTAGGACTAAGACATTTGTGAGACTTTTTAGCACTTACCATGAGTACTGCCAGCTTAGAAGAAAAATTCTATTTGAACTCTGTGACTTAAACAATTAACTCTCCTGTATCTTTTCCCTAGAATATATTAATAACCTACATAGGGATGTTCTTTGGAGGGGATTATATTTTCACATGGACAAACTTTGTAGGATTAAATATCAGGTGAGTGCGGGAAAACATCTATCTTGTTTGGTACAATGTATAGAAGCTTGTTAGATAAGGAGTTGATAAGATTGATTTTTATTGTTAGAGGAAAGGAGGCAATCTCGTCCTCACTCAATGTGGATGCAATGCATATTGAAGTCAGAAGATCCTTCTGTATGAACTTGCATCCAATTGCATTATGAATTGTGTTTTTTGAAATTAGAGTTCAGGAATGAGAAAGGCAAAATAAAATTGAAAAAGTGCAATTTGAAACTAGAAGAGAGGTCTCCTTTTTATACACGGATGAGCTGTCATGATGGAGGGCACTCTTGCCATTTTCTTAAGCTCTGTTTAAGTTTTTGTAAGGATGCATGTAGGGCTGAAATTGGAAACAGGGATGTGAACGCACATATAAGTCCCGTTCCCATCACCCAGAAGCATCCAGAAATACAGATTACAATGTGTATGCATATAATGCATATGACTGCCTTGGGTTGAATACAGTTGCAAAAGGTCCCATAATCAGGAAGACTGTTAAGATGAGTTCTTGTTCATAAGAACATTGTAGTTATCTTCAATCCAATGCCAGACCCCCATTCTCAAAGGTCTTATTTACATGCAAGTGCTTGATACTGTTGGTACTAGTTTTTGTATCACCCACATCATTGTCCTCCAGTGTTTGTTATTACATGTAGATTCAAGGTAGGCATTAAGGTAGTCACACTTGCTCTCATTTGATGACTATGGTCAAGAATTCTGGGAGCTGAAGTTCAAAACACCTGGAGGGCCACGGGTTGAAGAGACTTGATCTACATCAAACCAGTTTAGTCTTCTTTGATCATTTTACTATAATGTTGTTTCGACATCTCTGCTGATGGAATTTGACTATTAGTTGAACTATGTGCCAGTGTTAAGTTTTTCCTTTACCAACATATGTTCTCCCTGCTGTAAATTTCCCTGTTTTTTTTCTGAAAGGGTCTACTCTTAATATATAGTCATAATTATATTCATACTTAACCACACATGTTTTTATATATGTATCTCCATCTGTTCGGAACTGCAGTCAACAAACAATTTTTAAATCAACATTGAGCAGTTTTTTTCTGAGCTTTTCCTGTTACAAATTCAACTGGTACAAAAGATTTTGATGAATATATCTATTTAATAACAGTCTTTCTGGATAGAGTTAAAATTTTGGAACTTATAATGATTGCAAAGGGATAATTATAAATCTTTCTGGATCGAGTTAAAATTTTGGAACTTATAATGATTGCAAAGGGATAATTATAAACAGTATGGCAGAATTCTAGATTAAATCTAAGAAAACAAAGCGAAGTATTAACCTGTGATTTGTTGAATCATTATTATCCTATAAAGTTGTGTTTCCATGGAATTCAATTCAGTTATTGCATTAACGCTATAAAATATTAGTTGAACTACTTATTAATAATCTGGGAATCCACCAATAATTTGGTTGTTTGCACACAAGTATCTGCACTTTTCTGGCCTGGCATTTAAGAAAAGTCAAAATGGGAACCAGCTGTCCAATTCTGGGCAACACAATTGAAGGGAAATGTTGACAAGCTGGATTGCGCCCAGGGGAGGGCAACTAAAATGATCAAAGGTCTGGAGAACAAGCCCTATGAGGAGCAGCTTAAAGAACTAAGCATGTTTAGCCTGCAGAAGAGAAGGCTGAGAAGAGATATGATGACCATGTATAAAATATGTGAGGGGAAGTCATAGGAAGGAGGGAGCAACTTTGTTTTCTGTTGAGAGAGCTGTTCAGCAGTGGAACTCCCTGCCCTGGAGGATGGTGGAGGCTTCTTTTTTGGAGTCTTTTAAACAGAGGCTGGGCGGCCATCTGTCGGGGGTGCTTTGAATGCGATTTTCCTGCTTCTTGGCAAGGGGTTGGAGTGGATGACCCAAGAGGTCTTTTCCAATCCAGGGGAGGGCAACTAAAATGATCAAAGGTCTGGAGAACAAGCCCTATGAGGAGCAGCTTAAAGAACTAAGCACGTTTAGCCTGCAGAAGAGAAGGCTGAGAAGAGATATGATGACCATGTATAAAATATGTGAGGGGAAGTCATAGGAAGGAGGGAGAAAGTTTGTTTTCTGTTGAAAGAGTTGTTCAGCAGTGGAACTCTCTGTGGAGTGTGGTGGAGACCCCTTTTTTGGAGGCTTTTAAAAAGGGGCTGGATGGCGATCAGTTAGGGATGCTTTGAATGCGATTTTCCTACTTCTTGGCAGGAGGTTGGACTGGATGGCCCATGAGGTTCCTTCCAATTCAATGATTCGATTATTCTAAAATAAATTATCTAGTACAACTAAGAAGGATTCTAAATATGTATTTTTCATCTTAACACTGATGTCTTGCAGTATTGCTGGAAGCCTGGTATATTCTTACATCACCTTTACAGAAGAGCAGAGCAAGCAGTCCGAAGCTAGCATCAAGATGGACATTAAAGGGAAAAGCGCTGTATGACAAAAGGAGTTCCTTATCTAAAGTAACACTTGCTTTCCAGCTGTAAGTGCTGACAAATCAGTAGAATCTGTCATGTCTGTGAATGGAATTGTATGAGTCCTTGGCATTTGCACAATCTGATGACGGCTACCTTTCGAAGGCAATTCGATAATTTAAAATGTACAGGTGGATAGTTAATGCTGAGCTTCAAGAAATACTTAAAAATCTTGCACCGTCTGTTCAAAAAACGCTTGTAATGCCACAGTGTTAATCATCTCAACTGTAGCCAGTGTACAAGTAGCTACAGCCGGATTTTGCAGTAAATGGGTCCTAAATATTTCAGAATCAGCTTCAGACTGCTGGGCAAACAGGGTTTTCTTTTGCCAAGAAGACCAGCTTCAACTGACTTTTTTTCAGAGGTTACTCAAGATCAATACTGATCAAATAACATTCGGCCTAAGACCCTTATTCTGTGGGGATATACATTCTGATGTGTAGCCTGTAGGGAGGAGAAGAGGGAGAATGGCTTTTTCTGCTACAGAAGTCACTATGAGAGCAATCCCAAACCGGTTTCTTGCCATTCCAGCCAGTAGTTTGAAATACGTGTCCTATTTCAAATCTTGAGTTGTGTTAAATTCAGGGGTAATTAGATATGTGCCTTGTCAGAAGTCATGGCTTCGAGGCTCTCTGTAGGTCAACAACCATCATTGTTCAAAGCATAGTTTGAGCAATATTTTAATGGAGGAATGAGTAAAACAAAGTACACTGCTAAAGTCTGACACCTTGTTCATAGCTTTTCCTGACATCTTTTTGAACAACTTTGGTTTGGAAGAAGGTACAGGCTCATAGAAGAAGCTTTCTCTTCCAGCAGTGTCACAAAGCTCTTTCCTATGACAGTAGTTCTCAGCAATAGGGGTCAAAGACGCAAAAGGCTCATGTTGAAAAGGGATTGGTAAATTGAGTTTGTTTTTTCGTGTCGGGAGTGACTTGAGAAACTGCAAGTCGCTTCTGATGTGAGAGAATTGGTTGTCTGCAAGGGGATGCCCAGATGTTTTGCCATCTTGTGGGAAGCTTTTCTCATGTCCCCGCATGAGATGCTGGAGCTGACAGATGGGAGCTCACCCCACTCCGCAGATTCAAACCACCGATCTTTCGGTCAGCAGTCCTGCTGGCACAAGAGTTTAACCCATTGCACCACTGGGGGCTCTTTGGTGATTCCATACAGGAACCAAGCAAGTCACATGCCTCTCTATCTGCCTGTATAAACTCACACTCTTCTCACTATTTCCTCCAGTCTGTCATTACTCATTGTAAGAGGAAAGAATATACCAACCAACAGAGGGAAACCAAAGGGATATTATAATAATGATGATAATAATAATAATAATAATAATAATAATAATAATAATAATAATTTATTTATACCCCGCCACTATCTCCCCAAGCGGACTCAGGGCGGCTTACATGAGGCCAAGCCCAACAACACATCAATAAAACAACAAAACAGTAAGCAAATAAAACAATACAATTAATATAATTCACATATAGGCAATAACACAAAAAAATTTAAAAACCTATGGCCATGCCAGATGTAATAAATTAAAATTTTTAAATAAACACTGGGCGTGAACAGAGGTAGGATGTATCTAAGCAGGAGGATTTTAAAGCTTAATCAGTGTAGTGAGATGCTTAAATCAAACAGCTAAAGGTCCAATTACAGGACTCCTGTTGTATATTATTTCTTCTTCCGTATCTGACCCCCAAGGTGCTCTTCATCTATCCACAAATAGGGCGAGAGTGCTCATGCTCTTTTCCTAAAGAAACCAATTAAACCACAAATAGGCATATCTAGAAAGTGCCCAGAATCCAGTGGTAAAAAGGAAAGGCCAATGAAATCAATAGAGTTAGATTGATCGCAGGTTTTTTGTGTGTGTGTGTCAGGAGCGACTTGAGAAACTGCAAGTGGCTTCTGGTGTGAGAGAATTGGCCGTCTGCAAGGACGTTGCCCAGGGGACGCCCGGATGTTTTCATGTTTTATCCTTGTGGGTGGCTTCTCTCATGTCCCTGCATGAGGAGCTGGATCTGATAGAGGGAGCACATTTGCCTCTCCCTCTGGATTCGAATCTGCGACCTGTCAGTCTTCAGTCCTGCCGGCACAGGGGTTTAACCCACTGCGCCACCGGGGGCTCCAGATCGCAGTTTAGATGCAATAGCAGCTTCTACATTGCTGCTAGATGGGACTGTCTTCAGTGCAAGAAAGTCCCTTCTGAAGCAGATAAGGGAGACAGAGCCAAGGAGGACAGAAAGAGCACAAGTAAAGGCCTCCTTGTATCCAGTGGTATCTTTCCCACCATGTTCTTCTTTATGGCTAGATTAAAACTTTAGAAAAGCTTTGCTGCATCTGGATAGGATTCAAGAAGGCTTTCTGATGACAGTGGTTGCCCTCAAAGATGCATATTGAGTCTGGGAAGCTGACTTAGAAACAGAAAAGGACCAAACAGCATATTCCGCTGAATCAAGTACTTTATGGCAGTATTTCTTTTCAGAAGTTCAGAGCAGTTTCTATTTAAATGGCATTGTTGTTGATCTGCACCAGTTGCTATGGAAATTAAACATTATTTTCACTGTTTCTCGGGGGATTGTAAAGCACAACATTTTTTTCTGAGGAAATGAAATCATAAAAAGGAGGCACTTAAAGCACAGCAGCCTTCAGAACCAGGTTAGGAAAATTAAGTGTTTCTGTATTTCTCTGCAAAATGGAGTGATTTAGTGCTGTCGAAGGCTTTCATGGCCAGAATCACTGGGTTGCTGTTAGTTTTCTGGGCTGTATGGCCATGTTCCAAAAGCATTCTCTCCAAACATTTCGCCCACATCTATGACAGTTATCCTCTGAGGATGCCTGCCATGGATGTGGGCAAAATGTTAGGACAGAATGCTTCTGTAACATGGCCATACAGCTTGGAAAATCACAGCAACCCTGGCGTGATTTTGTGTTCATGCTGTGAAAAAAATGTATGTTATAGTCTAAGAGGGTCAGAGTGGAAGGAATTCTCTGTTTAAGGCAGTCTTTCAATGACATTTTCTTTTGATTTGGGCTCATCAGACCTAGAATCCAAGTTAGAAATAGATCAGAACTGATTTTCAGAATGATTTTGTAGCTGGAACTACGCTGAGAGCCTGGAAAAAGCTCAGATGCAGCAATTCTATTTTCATTTAGCTTTCCAAAGTTATTTGCAATATGTCTAACATTTCCATCTCTGCCTGCTCATGTTCCTTAGTTTTGATGTCCACTAAACACCTGACTTTTAAAAGAATTGTTTTGCTTAAATATGTAAACATTTTGAAGACATGTGAAAAAATATTTGTGTGTTGTATGTCTGGGGTGGGTATCAGGAATTTGGGAGAAGATTGTGGGGGGAAAATATCAATATTAACACCCATTATAGATTAAAACCCAGCATCATTGGAGAATCACGAAATGAAACAGAATGACTAACTGAATTTTGTAAAGGCAACAGGATGAATTTGGTAGGAAACAAATAGGTCATATAACTGGAAGCAAAAGATAAGAAGAGTTCTGTTTTGTTCAATTAAATGTTTAGACCGTTTACTCCAGATACAAAATACACTGGGTCTCCTAGTTAGTGAGGTATTAAGGTTCATTCCAATTTGTTTGATGCCCAGAGAGATTACAAAGTATTGTTTCAGAACTGGGAAGTGATGCGTTATGATATGAGTGTAAGACCTCGTTCAACATGTATTTCTGTGTGTATGTGCTTCTAAATCAAAAATTGACTTATGGTGATCCCCATCAGTTTTGTAGGGTTTTCTTAGGCAAATGATACTCAGAGGTGATTTTGCCAGTTCCTTCCTCTGAACCATAACCTATAGCACCTTGTATTGGTTGGCGGTCTCTCATCCAGGATCAGATGATATCTGTGGGTCCCCAGATATTTTGGCCTTCAGCTCGCAGAAATCCTAACAGCTGGTAAGCTGGCTGGGATTTCTGGAGTTTAGGCCAAAACACTTGGGGACCCACAGGTTGAGAACCACTGCAAGTGTTTAGGCCATTTCTGATTCAATGTACTTAGAATAAATCCAAATATTCTCTACTTGTTTTTCTGTTGCCTGCTTAAATACACTGCCACAAAAGCAGAGATGATTGTGGGCAGTCTTGTTTAATTGTGACCAAATGAATGCAAGCTGAAGCCAATTCCCATAATGGCATTTTTAGAAATTGGTCACAACCCAATGCGTAAATGCTAGTGGTTATTTCACTGTGGCAAAGAGAAAATTGCAGTATGATAGCAAAAAATTACAGTGTAGCCTGCCAACCACTTTTCCTGCATCAGGGGAAAATACCTTCATTAGCAAGAAAATCAACCAGTTACCAAACTTGTCTGATATTTTTGTCTGAGTGATCCTGTTACTTATATGTATGTGTGTCTTACAATACAAACATCAAAGCAAGTTGTGGGGGGAAAAACCTTACACGATGGAGCAAATATGAGGTCATTTAAAAAAATTTAGAACACCAAACCCAGTATTCACTTCAAAAAAGATTTTGTGATCCCCTCAATTTTTCAGGCTTGTAGGAAGATTACAGCAGAGGTGAAACTGTTGGCTGACTCTTGACTAGTAGCATTCTGAACAGAAAGGGGCCAGGTTCAATCCCTGACTTCTGCAATTGGAGGTATCTTGGCTAGCGTTTTGGGTAGTGTTTGAAAAAAAAATCTGTTCCTGACTTGAAAGTGTTATTTCCTGTTTAATTGTGCGGTACGTACTTTCAAAGTAGTTGTTATACTCCATGAACTTTGTTTTTGTGACTGCCACAAACTATGTTGAATTAGTCGAGACTCGAAGAGATATTCATTGAAAAAAGCTATAGCAAAATGTGTTGCAGGATGTCTTGCAAAAACAAAGTTTTTGCAGTTTGAAACACTATTTCCATGTTTTTTTTAAAAAATAATAGAACCAATTAGAAAGTAACATTTATAGCCTAGGAACAAAAATAATGTCATTGTAGAGATTCAGTGTACAGTGTCCCCTCACTTATTGCGAGTGTTATGTTCCAGAACCACCTTGGAAAAGTGAAAATCCGCAAAGTAGGGACGTTACATCTCTATATTGAGTTTCGGGGGTGAGGCAGAAGTGAGGAGAGATTTAAAGGCACCACGTACCTTTTTTTTTGCTAGCTATTTCTGCTTTGTTTTGAAATCTCTCTTGATTGGCTCCCTCTCTCCCGAGGGGGAGGGTGAAACCCCCTTCCACACTCCATCATTGCTAGGAGCCGAGATTAGAACACCGTTCTAGGCAATGACAACCATTCATAAACTGGGAGCCAAAACACTGCGAAATAGCGAGTCTGCGAAAAGCAAACTGCAAAGTAGCGAGGGAACACTGTATATGGCATTAATCTAAATGGGCAGTGATACAACAGTTTATGCTTAGGCTGCAAGAATTTGTACAAGTGTACAAAAAGTAGGCTGTTAAGGTTGTAAAAATTGTATTATCTTTCACTTCACTGTGAACCTTGGTTGCAATCCTTTTAGAGACATATGCTGGTACAACCCCAAACTACATCCATTTAAATACTTTCTTGGCTGTTAATACAAGGAGGTATTTCGTACTTCCTTGCACAGTGCCTTTTTCCAAGTTGTATAATGGCAGTTGGGTAGTGCTGAAATGCAGCTCCATCCCAATCTAAACAATTACTGATAAGTCATGGAAGGTTTGCCCTGGCATCACCAAGCTGCCGTTGTGTAGCCAATGAAAAAGGAACTGCCTTGGCGCTCTTCCATAAACGTATGATTGTGAAGCATTACATTCTGCCAGTATGCAGTACGATCTCAATAATTGACTCTGTACTATTTACCTGAAAGTAAGCTCTGTCAATGGAATTTACTTCAGGGTGGATAAGCCTAGGATGGTGTTGTACGTGATTTAAAATGTACTATTATAGATTTTCAAAATGTCATGTTTTCAAAACAGAACTGTTCTTCTTTAATGCATTCATACATTTTGTCCTGCATCTGTTTCATTATAAAAAGTGGACTTGTCTCCCACCTTGAAATCTAGGATGGATTAAATAACAAGGTGTACTTTCTCATTTTAAGCCCTAACCATTGCAGTTGGATTCAATCATCCATGTCTTGGAAATATTTTTTAAAAAATTCAGCAAAAATTGATTTTGCCATTTTATATAAGGGACTCCATTTCCTATGCCACTGTATGTATAAAGGAAGTTGAGGATCCATAGATTTTAGTATCTATGGAGGTTCCTTTGAATTAAACATCAGCTGATACCAAGGGCCCACAATACAACAATTTGATTTTACAGCAAATCAAATTAGAGGAACAAAAGTGTTTGTCTTTGCTGCTCAGGCTAGCATTAACACATCCTTCATTAGTGTTGAAAATAGGAAGGCTCCTCTAAGATTTCAAGTTTCAGCTTTTCCATGGTATCTGTGAAATACATTATGGCAGTGCCGGTTATAAAGGTAACTCCAGCTGTTTTCCATTACTTGCTAAATGGTTACTCTTCTGTCTTACCTTCCAACCTGCCATCTATAT